ATATGCATCTATTTATCTTTTGATCCCTCTTAGTTATGTGAATATCTCTCTGTGAATAGGGTTTAGATAGATTGTCTCAATAGTTTAAGTGCGCAATTAAATTGTTAGGATTAATCTATTAATGCCAATTTAGGTTGCTTAGTATGGAATCGCTTTATTAACCTAAATAACTAGTGGTAAAGTATATGCTTGCATACATGGGGGGTAATCACTCAAGATAACTAAACTAACCATATGAGTTTAGCCTTGATTCAGTAGGTCTCTCGCAACTTAATGCTTTTATTACTTTGAATCTAGAGATCGTATCCTAGGTTATTTAATAAATAGGGAATTGGGAATTGGGTTATGACCGTGTCTAGTCTAATGACTCAATATGGAGAGATGCGGGACTTATCAACGTTTGGTATTTTCTGAGCTAATGTGATCAAGAGGGTAGAAAGTTAAAGAATGCTTTTATTATATTTAATTCATGTCTAGTGGTGGCGAATAAACCTTCAATCTCACTTCTCTTATTCATCTCTTTCGTGATTGTTTGCTTGTTTTACTTTGTTTAATTTTAGTTTGCTAGTTTTTGTTGAGTTTTCATAATTCATGACAAACCCATTAGAAGTAGATAATTAATTAAGTTCACAAATCCTCTGTGGGAAAGACCCTTGCTCTTTTCTACAACATGACTTTGCTTTAGAATTTAGTGAGGTAAAATTAGGTGTTGCATTTGCACGCATAAGCGAAGTAGAATCATGAGAGCTGGGGTAATACGTACTGTTGTACTCCTTAGCTTCTTGCCCGTGACGTTAGTTAAAATCGAAACATAAATTGTTATTGCTAGATTGGCATGCATGACTAATATCGCGTGCCTACAAGGTATGAGCTTGCCTTTGGCGTGGGCTAAAACTAGCATGCTGGTGCTAGGCATTTCGTCATTTAAGACAAGAATCTCCACAGCGACCATTATTTTCCTTTTCCCCCATGGGCTCCTTGCCCGGTCGCCTTCCAAGATTAATCTGTTCCTGGGTCTCATGTTCGTGAGTGATGTGTGTCCTCTCCCGTTGGGGTTGACGGTCACTTCTCGCCGCTGATAAACCAAATTGTTCGCCAACTGGCCTATTCTACCTGTTGGGGGTAGGCTCGGTGAAGAGTAACTGGTCAAGTTCCTGATTGGTCTGTTGTTCCTCTCTCAACTGTGCCACATTTTGTTGCACCACTTGTACAAGTAGCGACCTTATCATGTCCATCAGTTGCCCATTTTTCGGGTTGGAAGTTCTTGCCCCTAACTGATTGGCGACATGTTGGGGTGGTACTAGTGGTAAGTGACTTTGAGCAGCGGTCTAATTGACTTCCTGATGAGTTGTTTCCATATTATCGTGGTTTTCGATTGTTGTTCTTAATACTGTAGATGATCTAGTATAGGCCATAACGACTTTTCCAGTGATCGAAAGTGTTATGGGAATTGCTTCCTGTTGGGAATAAAAGAGCTTGTCGGGGGGACCCTCCTTCTAGCGCAAAAATGTTGATACGAAAATTCGCACCAACCGGAGAAATTCGATCGACCTTGGTGGAATCAGAATAGATATGTGTGTGATTAAATGAAAATTAGCAATGAATAATAGATGAGTAATAAAATAAGAACACAAGACGATTTTTAAAGTGGTTCGACAAGTTGATACTTTAGCCTATGTCCACTATTATCTTATTGTTTTTGAGAGCTTACAAAAAATGTGTATTTTACCTAGAATAATTTGGTAACCCCTCTCTCATTGTTTTAGGGGGTATTTATACATAATTTTTGCAAAGGAAAGTGAGGTAAATCCGTGATTGCGATCAGATTCAGCATGCAATCCCATGATTATAGTGATTGTGCACTAAGATTGCGTTGACATCAGTGTAGATAATATCAAAAATAATAATGATAATAATAATAATAATATAAAATATAAATTTTTTATACAAACTCAAACAAAGCTCTAAAATACCAAACTTATAAAAAGTAAAATAACCAAATTGTTTTATAATAATTAACTCAAGGCAAGAGATTAATTTAACAAATAAAAGAAAAAAGGGCCAAAATGAGAGAATTAAGAGATACGGGACTAATATAATAGTTACTTTCTTTAGTCTTACAAATAAACTTAAAACTCTTTGTTTCTCTCACAAATAATCAATACAAATAGGTATTTACAGTATCTCTTAACCGCCCTTCAACGTTAAATAAACTTTGCTTGGGACAAACTTGTCCCTTTTATCTAGAGGTGGGAATTTAGTTTGGGCCCAATGGGATTGCCCAAAAAAGGGGACCTAGGACTGGTCCTTGGGAGGACAGGTCCTATAGGGCTCAGGCCCAGACCCGGACTAGGCCCATGAGGAGGGACCGGTCCTTGGGTTGGTCCCTCCTCCAGGGCCCGGGCTTGGGATCAATCCTTGGGTTGGTCCCTCATCCAAGGCCCAAGCCTAGGACCAGTGCCAAGGCTGGGCCCAAACCCCCACCCTTAATTTCCCATACACCCTCGGGAAATATCAATAACCACCTTGTTATATATTAAATTGACAATAAATATAAGGTCTAAACTGAAATTTTGCAAATTAGGGGGGTAAAATAATTTTCCATGCCCATAGGACCTAGAACTGTTCCTAGGGAACAATTCGGGCCCTAATATTTCTCATGGGTCTGGGATCGGTCCCAATTTGAGACCAATCCTATTGGGCCCAGTCTCAGGTTCGGACAGGATTGGGCCTTGCCCATCTCTACTTTTATCATTTATAATCAACTAATGCAATTTGTTTGGCTTAATTAATACAAATCTTAAGGGCTAAGGAAAGGGAGGTGAAAGCCACAAATAAGACATGTTTCCACATTACAAATATAAAAATAACTTTTCAAACTTACAAAATTTTAACAAGGAAACATAAATAAAAAAAATTAACAAATAATAATAACAAAAAAAAAAAAAAACTTAAAAGTCTACAAAATTTAAAAGTAAAACAATATAGAAGTTAAAGAATTAAAAAAATTCTAAAAACCAAAAAATTAAAAAAAAAAAAACTCTAAAAACTTGAAAAGTAAACTAATATAGAAATCAAAAAACTTTTAAAAAAAATTAAAAGTTGCATAATTTAGCCAACAACCAACCACTGTTTTAATAACCGACCCAGGGTGAAACCTAGTCAAGTGGCTGGGTCCCGAGTTGATCGGTTGAATCAGTTTGATCGACAAGTCAAACTGATGACATTAGCATGTCAAAAGGTTTGAAATCCAACAAAAAAAAAAAAAAAAAAAAAACCTAAAAATTACACATAAGTCAATATAGGTTTTAAATCTTGCAAAAACACCCCAAATTACATCAGCAACGTCGACAACCCAAGTCCAATAAGGCGTGTTTCCAGCGTCGACAACACACCCCATCACCGCGAAAACTCTCTCCTGAGCCTCCTAACTAAAACCTTTCTCACCGCACCTTTGTTCGCGCGCCAATCGCTAGCAACAACTTGCTGTTGCCATTGATTTATTTTTGTGATTTTCGATCTTTGCACTCGCCGAAAATCACCTCTGTCGTTACCTTTCGACTCACTAACCCTTCCTCTTCAAAACCCCCAACATCTCAGCCACCAATTGTTCACTGATCGTCATCCTAATTTCTAGGGTTTGCCATGAACTAGTAAAATTGGTAACCCAGCTTGGTGAAGGCCCCATGTCCTGGTTGAACTGTTTCAACCAGCCAGGTCGAACCAAATTTTAAAACACAACAACCAACCGTGACTAGTGTATGGCCTAGATCTGGCTGAAGTTGGACAAATCGAGCTTGACCTGGTCGGTGTTGGCCTCGATCAGGTAGACGTCAACTTGGATCTAGTTGACATTAGGAGAAATCTGGTATGGCGTGGCCCAATCTATGTTAATTCAAACTAGCTGTGCTAGGCACAACACAGATTTGGCCATTCCTGGTCAGGTCACCCCACGGTAACACACATGGCATGACCTAAAAGCTATGTCGACATCGACCAAACTTGGGCAAGTTGGAGCTGGCAATTTTTTTTTTTTAATTTTTATAAAGTTTTTTCTTCGTCTTTTGTATTTAAATATTCTTTTGTTAAGTTTAGGGTTTGTCTTATGTAATTTTCCAATTTTCATTTTTTATTTATTTATAGTTTTTTAGAGTTTTAAGTTTTTTTATTTTTCTAGATTTTTTCAGATTATTCCGTTTTTTAATTTGTTAATTTTTTTTTTTTTAAAATATATTACTTTTCTCTTTTAATCATCCCGTTAGAATTAACAGCTAAAATAGACAGAGGGGAAGTGATTTGTAGTTTATGGAGTTGCAGAGAATTTGTTTTAATTATTTTTAAAGATTATTCATAGACCATTCCTCATCTTGAGGTCGTTTACTTAACCAGACAGAAACCCTCAAGACTTAATTTTTTGAGACTATAATACCAATAATTCAGTAGATTTGTTTAGAAAAATAATTTTGTTTTGTGGCAAAACTTTCCTTTGCAAGCGATAATAAAATAAAATAAAATAAAAAGAAAAAGAATATTTATTTAATACATACAAATGACAAGGAGGCATGACAATGTTAATTATTGATATGATCATCAAAACGTTCATAATTAAATAAAATATAAAAAATTTAACAATAGGTTCCAAAAGAAAATGATAATTAACACAGAATGTCACTTCCATTTGGAACCATTATAGCCGTCCATCATGGAGATAACAAAATCTAATATAAAAATAAATAGAACTTTAAAATGTTTGAAATTTGTCACTTTCTTTCGATGTTGCAAGAGAGAAAGAAAACCGAGTAGAAAATGATGGAGAAAATAAATCTCCCTTCCCCTATATAGATGATATTTCATGTAAACTAAAGATAATTAACACAGCTGAATGTTTATCAACTTCTGTTCTCCAACATCTCTTGCTTCAGTCTCTTGACTTCCAACACAATCATTTATTCATATTAAGGGAGTTAATTATCTCTATCCAGTGGTCTCCTAAGCCCAGTAAGGTTATTGGAACATTGTATTTGTATGATAAGGGAAAGAGATTCTAATTAAGGAATCAAAAAGATTCACGAGAAGGCAGTTGTCAGTAAGACCAAAAACCGCCTTTAACCATTCAACTCATACTATTTCCTTTACAAAATTAGATTATACTCAATCTCTCTCTCACTCTTTAATTACATTTACACTACAAAATCAACTCCATTAACCACCATAACCATGGCCACTCCTCCCCCGAACTCCGTCCCAATCGCCTACCAAGCTTACACCTCCGCCGCCGTTCCCGACTGGTTAAACAAAGGTGACAACGCATGGCAAATGATCTCCGCCACTCTCGTCGGCCTCCAAAGCGTCCCTGGCCTCGTAATCCTTTATGGAAGCATTGTAAAGAAAAAATGGGCAGTGAATTCAGCTTTCATGGCCCTTTATGCCTTCGCCGCCGTCGTTCTTTGTTGGGTGATTTGGGCTTACAAAATGTCCTTTGGCGATAAGCTCTTGCCGTTCTGGGGCAAAGCAGGTCCTGCCTTGGGACAAAAGTTTCTCATCAAACAAGCCGCTTTGCCTGAGACTACTCAGTATCACGATGATGGTTCAGTTGAAACGGCCATGGCCACACCGTTTTATCCGATGGCTTCAATGGTTTGGTTTCAGTGTGTGTTTGCTGCCATTACGTTGATTTTATTGGCGGGATCGGTGCTTGGGCGGATGAATATAAAGGCATGGATGGCTTTTGTGCCGCTTTGGCTAACGTTTTCTTTCACGGTTGGGGCGTTCAGTCTTTGGGGGGGCGGGTTCTTGTTTCATTGGGGTGTGATGGATTATTCTGGTGGTTATGTTATTCATCTTTCTTCAGGAGTTGCTGGCATAACAACTGCTTTCTGGGTAATCTTTAATACCCCTTGCCTTGTCTTCTAAAACTATTTTCATGAAATATTTAGACGGTTACAAAAGAAAAAATGTTTTTTTTTTTTTTTATTTAATTTCTAATTAGGGCCATTTTCCAGTGGTTAACAATTGTATGTTTGATTTTTTACATGCAGGTGGGTCCGAGATCAACCAAGGACAGGGAAAGATTTCTACCAAACAGTGTACTATTGGTGTTAGCGGGGGCGGGGTTGCTATGGATGGGATGGGCAGGATTCAACGGCGGAGATCCATACTCAGCCAATATTGACTCATCTTTGGCCGTCCTAAACACCAACATATGCGCAGCAACAAGTCTTCTTGTGTGGACTTGGCTTGATGTCATTTTCTTCAAGCAACCTTCTGTTATTGGTGCCGTTCAGGGCATGATCACTGGCCTCGTTTGTATTACACCTGGTGCAGGTATTTCTTATTATTTAGTTGACCACTCCCTTTTTTATTATTTTTTGGACTTCTCAAAAAGCCCTTCTTCGTGCCATTCAATTTCTTTAAATCAGATCTATAAATTTGTTGTAAGAAATTATAGTCAGTGACTTGTTGAAATCTAATAGTTTAAAAGTGACACAAAATGAACTAACTTCTTCCATTTTACTCGACTGTTTTTTTAGACTTGTTCAGCTTGTGTATTTCGTTTACATGAATCAAATGACTACAATTTATTACCTAAAACCTGTTGGAACGTCTTCACTTATAAGATTGGGTGAATTATTGCATTATATAATTTTTATTTATTATTTTAAAAAAAAAGGATACTTAATATTTTCAAAAGCATCTTGATCTAAAAATTAGCGTAAAATTAAAAAAGAAAATATTATATTTAATATGAAAACAACTTTTAAATATTACTTCATGCACATCTTAAAATATTAAGATACAATTTACAATTATAATTATATTTTAAATTTAGAAATTTGTTTTCAGGTTGCAAATCAAACAGACCTCTTTCTTAGTTTTATTCCCTTTGGAATTGATTTAAGGTAGTTCAATGAATAATGGAAGAAAGTTACATATATTAAGAATTGTGTAACTTTAATTACTTTATAATCAATAATATTTTGTTTATAACTGAGTTATATAAATAGATAAAAATTATTCAAAATTTATGTAAAATAACTACTCTATCCTTTGTTTTTTTTTTTTTTTTTTTTTTTATTTTTATTTTTATTTTTTTCTTTTATAAAATTAAAATTAGTTGAAATTATCAATTATTATAGCCATCATTCACTTTTATAATGTAAATTAGTATATCTATTATAATAGGTCAGGATACTAACTTATTTTTTTGACACTTTCTGAGTTATTGATGTTTTTTAATCCAGCGATGTGGAGTTGAAAGTAAATGTAACTGCAGTAAACCTTTATCTTATCACCAGTGGATCAACGACTCATAAGAATTAGTGAAATATTATGTCATAATATTGAGTTACAATATCCCAACCCCCAATGATTTACAGAGTTAATGAATAGATAATCATGATTAAGTTGTTAAAGATAAATGAAAACGATATAATTGGGTAGTTAATTGTTTGAATTAGGTCTTGTTCAAGGATGGGCAGCTATAGTAATGGGAATATTGTCAGGAAGTGTGCCTTGGTTCACCATGATGATAATACACAAAAGATGGACACTTCATCAGAAGATTGACGACACACTTGGTGTTTTCCATACCCACGCCGTTGCTGGCCTTCTTGGTGGCTTGTTAACCGGCCTCTTTGCTGAACCAACACTATGCTCTCTCTTTTTACCGGTTTCAAACTCAAGAGGCGCCGTCTATGGAGGCTCGGGAGGAATCCAATTCCTCAAACAACTAGCAGGAGCTGCCTTTATCATCGGTTGGAATGTTGTTGTTACATCTATTATTTGTGTGCTCATAAACTTAGTCATTCCATTGCGAATGGCCGAGGAGCAATTGTTGATTGGAGATGATGCTGTGCATGGTGAAGAGGCTTATGCTCTGTGGGGTGATGGAGAGATTTATGATTCAACAAAGCATGGCATGCACTCTGATGATACATTGCATCCAAAGACTACTTCAACTGGTGCTACTCAGGTGGTTTAATTACAACACGTGTGCTTAAATTTACTCATAGAATGAGTTTGTAAATTTAGTTCACTTCTTGCATGTTTGAATGGTTTCTTGATTTGACTTCCTTTGTATGGCTTTACTAATTGTTACTTATAAACATTAATTGTTAGAATTAACGTAAGTATAACTATTGCGTTTGTGTGGTTAATTTTCAAATATGGATGTTTTTTATCATTTAACCTTTTTATCATTATGGATTAAAGTATAATACAAAGAAAATTATCACTTGAAATTTTGAATATTGTTCCAAGGTTGTTATTCCAAAAATAAATCATTTACCTAGCATTTAATTGCTTATCAAATGAAATGTGCACCAATAAAAACAAGCCCAGTTTGTTCCTATTGTATATGTTGTTACGAAAACTCACAACAATTAGAGATATCTAATCGACCACGGCGGAAATAGGTAGGATGTGTGTGTGATTATAAATAAACAGGTAGGAACAGACTTGAGTGTTCGTAATGCAAGAACACGAGACTTTTAAAGCGGTTCAACGAGTTAGAACCTAGCCTACGTCTATTGTTATATTATTGCTTATGTTTGTTGTATACACAGAGTGATTACAAGGAGGAAACACGTAATAGCGAGCTAAGACTCTCTCTAAGTGATTTCTTGTGCTTGTATGAATAATAATTGGTCGATCCTCTAAAACAGAGATGAGACCTTCCTTTTATACAAACCATCTGACGGTGGTTAGGGGTTGGTATTACAGGCTAGATTACATACATAATCCCTCAAAATTCGTATCTAAGTCAGTTTCCACCCATGCTTAAGTCTAATCACCCATGCTTAATACTAATGAGCTTGTTTAAGCAGTCATCTATTGTGGGAGCAACACGTGGGATGATTCTGACCGCTAGATCTTTGTATGGTTTATAAACAGGTGGCATGAATTTGGCAGTTAGAAAATTATGCACAACGTTAACCCCTTAGTTTTTGGAAGTCAAAGTCAGGCTTCAAAAACATTCCTCTAGCAATTTGCACGATAGATGAAGTACAAGCCATGACACCTGGCCGTTAGGGCGAGCTTGGGCTATCTTGTCAAACCTGACATCTTCCAACGATACATCACGCCTGACACCTTTTAGCCTACGTTGCTTAGTCACATCCGAGGTCTATTCGCTTGACCTCTTGACGACGCAATAAATTGAGATGCGCGTGTTCCCGTTCCCCAGGCGTACAGGTGCGTTGGAAATGATGGCAATTGGGAATGGTGAACCGACGTCCGTACCTCTTCTTCAGACGCAATGAAACGTCAACAATGATGGCAGTTTCGAGAATGATGAATGGTTGGCATCCCTTCCTGCCTATATATATAGCCACCTTGGCTTGGGCTGTCATCCACCATTGCTTTCATTCTTGCGCATTTAGAAAGAGGTTTTTTGCAGTTTCTTCTGTTTCGCCATTTTCCACTGAGGCTTTACCTTCTATTGTGCAAGGTTTGTCTTCCTCCTTCACTTGGTTTTATTTTCCATTTTGTTGTCATAATATTGGAGTGTTTTTTACTGGAACTTTTCTCCCTTCTTTGCAGATGTCATCATCTGACATTTCCTTTCTTAGGGAGGAGACATAAACTATAGCAGTGACAGCCCTCGCCAACTGTTGTCGGTACCTTCATCAAGTGAAGTGTGGGTTGTGACTTCCCATTGAATTTTAGGCTGCAACGACAAGGCTACCTCTCGATTGGCCTGCCTTGACTGGGCCAGACCTTCCTCTGCCATTCCTTTCGACGAGTTGCACCCCAACTAGCTAGAAGCTAGCACTTTGAGGAGTGTATCCGGGTTGGCATGCGATTGATCAAGTAAGTAGTTGTGATCATACATTCACTCCAAAATTTAACAGGAATGTTGGCTTAGTGTTTAAAGGCATGGGCTACTTCTAATAGGTGTTAGTGTTTTCTCTCAACTACCTCATTTTGTTGAGATGCACATGTGCAAGAACTCTCGTGAAGAATTCCAAGAGAGGAAAAAAGAGTTGAGCATTGATGGTTAAAGAAGTCACCAGCATTATCTGTCTGGACATGCTGGACAGATGAATGGAACTGATTGGTGACTATAGTTAAGAAATTTTTAATATGGGTGAAAGTTTGGGCTTTTGACTACATAAGAAAGATCCATGTGCCACAAGAGAAATCATCTACTGTTGTGAGAAAAAAATTTGGATCCATCATGGTTAGGAGTGTGGTCAGGACCCCAAATGTCTAGGTGGATTAGAGAAAAAAAAGTTGTGTAGTAGTGGATGTGTTGTGTGGAAATGTTATACGAGATTGTTTTGCTAAAGGGCATATTGGACATTTATGTTGAGGGATTGACGCACTATGACCCAGTCTTTGATGGAGAATGAAAGTTTTTTTATTGATATTTGTATTACAATGAAAAGATTTATCTGTAATACAAGATGACAAACTTTGAAATTTATTGGAAAAATCATCAGGAGTCCAGTAGTATAAACCATTATTGACTCTATCAAAGCCCATCAGTGTCCTAGTCAAAAGGTTTTGAAATTCACATGTCAGGAAGGAATTTTAAAAAGCAACTATTATCAGTGAAAATTTTGGAGAGATAAAATTAAAATGGAAGGCAGGGACAAAAAGAACATTATTAAGAATTAATTTTTCGGTGGGAGGAATTGTTCCTATGTGGGTGGGTGGCTGGGGTGATATTCCTGTTTGGCATACAAACGAATATAGATGATGCAATGGTTTTTATGAGAGAAAAATTTTGGATTGCAAATAATATGATCACTAGCCCCTAAATCAATAATCCAAACATTATCTTTAATAAAATTCAAGTAAAAAAAATGCACATGTGTAGGATGCGGTAGATGTGGATGAGATCTGATTCATCATCTAAAGGAGTTGATTATATTGTTATGTACTAATCAGTGGTGATTGAACTTGATTTCCAGCATGAATGGTGATAACTTGATGAACGGTTGAATTTCCACTTTTGTCTGAATTAGGACTCCTATGTAATTTCTAGCAATGATCCCGAGCGTGATTTTGCCTTTCACGATATTCAAAACAATTTTGGTTTACCTGTTTTGGAAGATTTAGACTCATTAGACCAATTTGAACCATTGGACCCATTTGACCAATTGGGCCTATTAGCCCAAGTTGACTGGTTTGACCCTGTGTATGACGTGGCAGCATGAGGACCTTACAATTGATAAGTCAATTTCTGGCCATTGGATGAAAGAATTGAATCTTGGCCCTTCATCCTTTCATATATAAACTCATCTTTCTCATTTTGTTAAAAACTTAGCCGCTCCACACTGTTTTTCTCTCCAGCTAACGATACAAACTTCTTCTTCTCACCCAAAAAAGCAACGGCCGCTCCTGATTTTACACTATCTATGTATTGCTTTTGATGAACTAAACATTCTAAGTCAGTGAATGAGTAGGTAGACCCAGAAAATAAAAACTCTTCATTATGTGGGACAATTTGTGCACAAAGGTAATACTCACCACTCATTAAAGGGTGGAGAGAAACTAAGAAAATATGAATAGTTTATAATTAGCAGTGCAGCATATATTGTAATTCAAATATGCAGATTTAATCATGAGTAAATAGAGAAATAAACACCCCTGGAAAGAGACAAAATTTTACATAAAGGCTTCTTCAAGAGGAATTATGGATTAAAAAGACGAAAAAAATTAAGGAATAATGCAGAAGCAATGTCTAAAGGGGAATATGAATGTAACAAACTGGTGTTAAGCATAGCTCTAATTTTCTTTTTTTCTTTTAAAAAAAAAAAAAGATTTAAGCATTGTATTCACACCAATTAGGCACAAGCCAATTGTAATCAGATTCAAAAATCAAGATCACCCAACAAAAGATTACCTCAGATAAATGAGGGTAAAGGCTATTAATCCAACCTTGCTACGGCACCAAGAGCCAAAACAGCTGCTTCCTGTCTTTCCAGGCTGCATCGCCCCTAGTTGCCAACTTAGCCTGCAAAAATTCTTGAGAACTAAAACATGTAATTGAAAGAAGAGCTACTAGCAGAAAATTTTAGTTTCATCGAAATTAAATCTTAGCAGCTATGTGAACTAAATTAATTGATGTTACCTCAATAATAGACATCAAAGTTGGAAGAATCTCATCCCCAAACACGTTTGAGAGAACATCAAGCGCCGTTGCCCTACACTTTCGCAAATTCCATACATTAACTATGTCATCGTCCTGCAAACCAAACAGTTCATTTAGAAAACTAAATGACATCCTCTATTATATTAACTAAATCACAACTTCTGTAAATTCCATATATTCATTGAGTGATTGCTTAACCAAGCAATTTAAAACTGCTAACATAAATAAGATGATGCAACGACTTACATCATCTTCCAAGTTTTCTGATCCGTGAAACCGTGATGAATGAAAACGAGGTTTATATCCTATGGTGTACATAGATAAACTCAATAAAATATATCAAGCAAGACAACATGATTTCAGAACAAACAATATATGAACGCATATGTATTCAAAAACAAAAATTATAAAGTATAAACCTAGTCCCTATTTGGGAGAGACTCATCCTCCTGCAACAATAAATTGATCCACATAAATTATGCAATACAATATTCAAAATCATTCAAAGACAAATTGAACAGAAAAGTCAACCTCGGCTTCCAGAAGTGACTCATCATCATCAGCATAAAACATATTTGAAAGCAAAACCTACAAAAGTTGTTTTAGACATGAGTAAAATCATGGAAAATTACTCTGGGAAAAAAGTAACTAGAAGAAAAGGAAATTAAACAAACATTAACTATACCGGAAGTAGACGTGGCAAGAATTCTTTTAGGTTTTCAGGTGGTAATTGAGCATCACAGTATGCAGACCTGTTAAGGAGATGGCCATCAATGGAAAAATAAAATAATATATATATATATAGAGAGAGAGAGAGAGAGAGAGAGAGAGAGAGAGAGAGGAACAAGATTTGTTGAATATGCGGTGATTGAATATGCGCCCCGTCAACATCTAGGGAGGAAGATGTTGACGGGGCGCTCAGCCAACCCAGGTACATCTGAATCCAGCACTTGGGGTATGTATCATGCCGTTGAGGAGTGGAGTATTTCTTTCTCTCTAACGGTTGTTTAGTGAGAGAGAGAATTTGAAATGAGGATTTAAGAAAATAATGATGTTTTAAATAAAATTAATTATTAATAGAAATTTAGTGAGGTTTAAATAATATTACTTATTTAAAAAATGCAAGCCCCATTTTTTGACTGGAGCTTTAGGCAAAAAAAATTCTTCATGTTTGAAGAGTGGGCTTCATTTTTGGGATCAATGATGGTAGAAGCTTCTTTGATTTCAATTTTTTTTTTTTAATTAGATGAAACTTTTGTTGATTAATTGTGATAGGGAGTTTAATGGATTTGTATTTGTTGACTCGTTAGATTGAAAAGGTTTATGTCATTGTTTTTCTTGAATCCTTTCTAGTAAGTGGTTTAGTGCCTTGCATAATGGTTTTGCAGATGTTTATATAAAATAATATTTTTTGATTGAGTTTTTAGTTTATGTAAACGTAAAATAATTTTGTTCGATTGAGTTTGTATTTGAAATATGTGCTTTTTTGTCTCAAAGAAATTGGGTTTGTGTTTTGTTGTTTGCTGATTAGTATTATGATTAATAAGAAAACGGGTTTGGAAAATATAGTTATGAGGAATTGAATAGAAAATTTTAAGAGACGATTTTCCCAAGAAAGTTGAATGAAAATTTCCAAATTCCAAATGGACAATAAAATGGACTTTCAACTTTCTTAATTTAATATAAATTATAAACTAAACAATCCAAGAGTAACAAACAAAATATAACTTATTCAGCTTCTAAGTCTAAAATAGTCATTACATAAGTTTAACATTAAATTTATCATTGTTACCAACATAGGCACGTGATCATATCAATTTTAAAGGGTAAAATTGTCAATTTGATATAAAGAGGTTTTTTCTTAATTTTGACAATCAATATGGTACATAAGGATAAAATAGTAATTGACTCAATTTAATTTGTACACCTAATTACCAATTGTAACTTACGTTTTCTTTCTCCTCTAATTTTTTCCTTCTTTCTTTTCCCCCTTCTCCTTTATCCCATCTCCTTTTTTAGCTTTCTTTCTTCTCCAGTTTGCATCCTTCCTTCCAATGTTCTGAAAACCGGACCGGAAGTCGACCCGGCCAAATGGCTAGTTCCCAGTTCAAACGGTTTGACCGGTCCGACCGGTCGGTCGGGCCGGTGACGTCAACAACTTCCACAAATCACAGTTTCACCATCAATTTCTAATTTCCCAAGAGAAATTGCTAGATTCACTGATTCACATTTCACAATTTTAAATCACATTACAATAAGTCAATAATACAATATCATGAATCAATTCAAATTTCAAAACAAAAAATAAGGGGCGAATTTACATTTTACACAATCTACAAGTGTAAATTGTAAAACACGTAGGCTGGCCACATGAACAAACAAAAAAACAGAACCAACTCTCTAAAAATTCTAAGCAAAATTACGAGGCACTAGCATTATAAAACAAGCAAGCCACCTAGACAGACAACAAGAAATAATTAAATCTACAGATTCTACACATCATAAATTCAAAAGCCAGCCACTAACATGGTTCATAAATCTGTACATAAAGCCATCAATACAATATTATGAATCATGATATGACATAGAAGATAGAGAAAGATAGGAATTTGTATATTGTTACTTGGTCACGGCAAACAGCAACTCGCAGATGGCAGCAGACGGCGGTAGATGTGAAGGCTGAAATCTAAGCTAAAGTGACTAATCCGGCAGATCAGCAATGGCAAACAAGAAGCAGGCTTTTAGATGGCGATGGTGATGATTGAAGAGTTCATGTTGAAGATTGGAAGTTGAAGAATGAAGAGTTGTAGGCAGCAGACCAACCACGGCAAGGAAGAAGCACTGAAGCAGAGTAGAGCAGACCGAAGACTTGAAGACTGAAGAGTGAAGACGTGAGGCTGAATCGCTGAAGCTTAGCTGAAAGCTTGAAGGAGGTCTGACTTTTGAGATCGCGAATAGAGGACAGGAAGAGGAGGACTAGACTGGAGAGTGGAGATCGCGAATGGCAGTAGCAAACCAAGATGAAAAACTGAAAAAGGGGCAGACGGCTTAGTAGCTCACAGCTCAAAAGCAACTTGAAAATGTATTAAAAATTTTGGGGGTTTGGTTTGACACTCTGATAGTTTGACTTTGTGTTTGTGCGACTGTGGTTTTTACTTTTTAATTTTTTATTTTATTTCATGTGATTAAACCGGATTGGGTGTGGACCGGAAATCTTTTTAATACCGGTTGGACCGTCGGTTTGCTACAGTGAGATGGTCCAACCGCAGTTTGAAACGGTTTGACTGAAAATCCCGGTTATTTGCTCTCTTCAAACCGGAAATATGAGCGAAACCCGATCAGATTGGTTCGACTGCCCGGTCCGGTTCGGGTTTCAAAACATTGCTTCCTTCATTTTCTTCCTTTTTTTCCCCTTCTCTTCCTCCCTTTCTTTCTTCTCCTATTTTCATTTTTTTCTTAGATTTACCATGATTGCCATTAGGGTTCGGCATAAATAACTAAAACCTAACCTGACTAAACAGTAGGATAGAGTTATTAGTGACTTCACTCTTATACCCATACTTTTGATTAATTGACAATTTTTGTCCCATAAGATTCCATTTTGTAAGGAAAAATAAAAAAATAAAAAATAAAAGATAAACAAACAACTCAAACTCCTAACCCCTTGCAATGAAATCCAATATATTTTACCTCCAAGTTACATGCATTATTTATTTAGAATTTACCCAACATAAGTAAACTAGGTAAAATTATTGAATTTAGCATATTAAAATTTTGACAAATATATATTTGAGTTTTTGTAAAAAAGAATATCAACTTTTACCTCTAAAAATATAAATTTTAAAAAAAATTAATTTACAATACTATTAAATTTTGCTAAATCTTTTCAAAACATTTAATATTGTTTTAATAAAAGATAAATAAAAAATTTGAAATAAAAGTTGGAGATGGTACCCACTATCTATTTTATCATATTGCCAACCCGATCTCATGTATTATATATAAATATATTAAGTTTGAGATATTTTGAGAATTATAAATTTTAAGTTTGAAATTTCAAATTCTACTTTTCATATATTAATTTAGTATCAATAATTATCAAATATATTTAAGATTTTTTTTAGCATATTAGATTTAATAATTTTAAATATCAAATATATTTATAGAAATTTTAAATATAATTTTGTTATCATATTTTATTATGTTTATAATTTATAAATATTATGTTGCAAGATGTTATCAATAAATCTACGTAGCTTATTGGTTGGGTTATTATCATCCACCCCCTAAGAGATGAGCTAACTTAAACACCCCTATGATTTTCATAAAGTACAACGTTTTAACCCCATGACCCCAAGTTGACTCTGTCGAAGAAAATGACTTGAATGTCTTTATGATTTCTATTGATGAAGTAAATGATTTATAATGTCTAAAATATCCCTAGAAGTGATGTGAGGTCATGTAGGCATTGGTAAAAATGTTTTCTTTTCTTTAATATTAATAATAGTGATGGGATAGTTTTAGCAATTGAAATGATGCAAAATACAAAATTACCATCAATAATGCTATATATACGATTGGTTCTTACTAACCAGTTTACAACATGACGTGACATATGACGGGGCGATGCCATCTCATCTGTCACGTCAATCACTTACCATGCCAAATAAGTCCAAAATAAAAGTAAAAAAAATCAAATGTAAATTCCCATTTTAGCAAACGAAATTTTGCCCACCCTAATCCCAAATTTCGAAACCTAAATTTTGAGTTCTCTCCCAAATAATATCAATCCTTAAACCCAAATTGTAAACCCTAAATTTTGAATTCTCTTCCATATATGCTTACTACCCAGTCTTCAAAACTGTTCATAGCAAATCTCTGACATTTAGACGAAAATATTTTATTTCTCATTGCCCTAACTGCACCCCTTTTTCTCTTTCGTTCCCCCTTGGAGTCACTGAATCGAATCAGAAATGGATTTTTGTGATTAGGCAAATATGAGTTTAGAATCACAATCACAATGACAATGACAATCACCATCTCCTCCTCCTCAGCGATGGTTATCGTGCATAAAGTGTTTCGACGCTCTTGGGTTCTGCTATTCACCTGTTGATCAGATGTTGCTCTTGTAGACTTTTTAATTCTCAAAACCAAACCCACTTCTTGCTCTGAGATAATCAATTATTCTCCTTTTCCATCCCCATTTTCATTTACTTTAAATAATTTCTACATACTTTTGATGGCCGCCCTGGTTCATCTTCTATTTATTAAGCTGTTTACTTTGTATTTGTTTTTGGGATCCATTCTTCTTTTACTCTATTTTTATTGCATCGCTTGTTTTAAATTATATTCAATCTCTAGGGAAAAACTTACTTCCAAATCAATATACTTTTTGGACTTTAATTTTTTCACAACCAATTCACATTTTATCTTGCTTGTGATTTATTTTCTTCAATTTCAACTTGAGCATCCCTTATATTATTTTTTATTTTTTATTTTTCCTTTTGGGTGTTCATCGTAGGATCTAAAGTTGTTACAAGTTTTGAACTCCATCTTTTATTGGTGTATTATTGTTGAGTAAAAGATTTTGCATTTTCAATGTTTTATTGGTACTTGTATTATTGTGAGAAAAAGAATTTGCATTTTCAATGTTTTGTCGGTGGATTGTGTATCTTTACTTTGTTGATGAACTGTGGTGTTTGAGGGACTGTGTATTGATTATCACAAACCTCTTCAGGATGGGAAAATTGTGAAGTTCAATCCTTCCTGGATAAAATGCTGCTATTATTCAT